ATTTGAGATGGGACCGCCGTCGTCAACGTTCTTGAGCTCTTCCTTTTTGCCGGTCGCCAGAGGCAGGGATGAGTTGGAGAAGACGAAGGGCGGTCCGCGCTCGAAGAGGAGAGGGAGACTCGATGGCGTTCTCGAGCTCGTCCTTCTTGCCGGTCGCCAGAGGCAGGGCGGTCCTTGCAATTTTCGATTGGAAGCTTCAAAAACCTGGAATCAAGAAAGGAGGAGCAAATCAAGGTAGTGCCTTCAAAATTGAGTGAGGGAACCGGGGTTTCTATACACCATACCTCCAATTGGCGTTCGCTACAACTTTGAAATCGTTTTCTGAGAGGAGCAGCGAAGCAGATCAGGTCGGCGCCTCGGCGCTCGGTGGAGCGGAGCAAAGGAGGGACCGCGGCGGGTCGCCTTGCCGCCGGTCGCTGGCCGCGGGCTTGAACTGAAGAAGAACTGCAGAACAGGGAAGAAGAGGAGGAGCGCCGATTGAACTGAAGAAGAACTACAGAACAGGGAAGAAGAAAGGAAGGCGGCGGCTGTGTTTCGTTCGATTGAATAGGGTTTTGCCAATTTGACTTTTTTTTTGCTAATACGACGACGTTTTTCTTTCCATTAACCTGCCCCCGGTTAGACCAAAATCGGCCGGTATTTCGGATTAAACCGTTTAAACCGGCCGGCATGATATTCTGCAATAAAACACGATACCGTATCGGAAGGGCTCCGGTTTCCGGTTTTACCTATTCAACCGGCCGGTACGATCAGGTTTCCTTTACCATGCTTAGGACAGGAAAGGTTTTACGTCAGCTAAACTAGACATTTCTAAAGCCTATGATCGAGTGGAGTGGGGTTTTCTGGAAGCTATTATGAAGAAAATGGGGTTCAGTGACATATGGGTAGCTACGATCATGACTTGTGTCACGACAGTGTCTTATTCAATCTTGGTGAATGGACACAAGACCGAGACATTTTCCCTACCCGAGACTTAAGACATGGTGACCCCATATCACTTTACTTATTCCTTTGGATAGCAGAGGGCTTGTCAGCACTGTTATCAAAAGCAGAAAGGGAAAGAAGAATTGAAGAAATCCAGGTAAAACGAGGAGCACCCCACATCACCCATCTATTATTTACGAATGATAGTGTGCTATTTGCCAAAGCTACTAAACCAGAATGTGAGCAACTCAAAACAATTCTCATTTCTCAATACGTACGAGCCGAAATCAGGTTAGAAGGTAAATTTAGAAGTGATTTCCTTTAGTCCCAACGTGGGGGAAGAAAAGAGGCAGGAGCTGGCAGCCATTCTCGGTATAAAAGTGGTGCCCAAACATACAAATATCTCGGTCTTCCCATTGTCATTGACCGAAAGAAGAAAGAAGTTTTCAGTTACTTGGTTGACAGGGTTCACAGGAAGGTGAAACTTTGGAAAGGAAAGTTGCTTTCTTTTGGCAGAAAGGAGGTGATGATTAAGGTAGTAGCTCAGGCACAGATGACCTATGCAATGCAAGTTTTTCTAGTTTCTATTTCAGTGACTCAAGAAATTCAGAGTATAGTGTCTAACTTTTGGTGGGGGAAACAAGACTCAGAACGAATAACTCACTAGGTTAGCTGGAAGGATCTTTGTCGAACAAAGAAGAAGGGGGGTCTTGGTTTCCGAAATCTACATGAATTTAACTTAGCTCTTTTAGGGAAGCAGCTTTGGCACATCATCCAGAATCCAAACTCCCTAGTTGTCAGGGTTATGAAAGCAAAGTATTACCCCTCAAGAGACATCCTCAAAGCAGACGAGGGTTATAACCCTAACTATATCTGGAGAAGTATCTTGTCTGCTAAAGGGATGGTTAAGGAAGGATTGAGGTGGAGATTTGGAGATGGAAATAAGGTGGATATATGGCAAGACAAGTGGATTCCCACAACTCATAATTTTAAGGTAACTTCCCCAGTGTCCCTATTTGCGTCGACTACATCTGTTATGATCTACTAGATGTGGATTTAGAACTTAGAATCATGCCATACTCCAAGCACTTTTTCTCCCACAAGATAGAAATAGGATTCTAAAAATCCCCATCCCTAGACAACCATAAGAAGATAGGAGAATTTGAAGCTATGGACAATCTGGAAGGAAGATCTTGATCCCCTCTTTGCTGATTGTTCTTTCACTCGAGCTGTGCTGAAAGGTTGTTTTGGACACCACTCTTCACCTACAACTTGTTCTACTTGGGACTCTCATCTGCTGTGGGCAATTGGTAAATGGAAAGAGGGTAATAATCTACGGGTTGTTGGAAAGCTGATTTGGACTATGATATTGAGCTATGTTTGGCGAGAACGGTGTTCTAGGGGTGTTAGGCAATAAGCATGTTGTGTTGTCGAAGAGTTCAGTTAAGGGGATAGAGTCAGAGGTCTCCATGGTTGCCGAGGTGTTGAGGACACATTATAATGTGATGTTGTCTTTGTTTTTTAGCATAAAAGTTTGATATAATTGATAGCATTACAATTGTAGAGATGATATGTTAAGATGTAAACTTGAGAGGGGACTTGGTTTAAGTTTCCTAACACTTTCAATGCAAATTTGATGTTTAACCATAAAAAATTACCTTTTATATTATCACTATTTTCATTCATAAAGTGTTTTTCCTTGTTTTATCGTATAAAGTAAATTTTTGCGTGTATTTTTTCAAATAACATGTAAGAGTGGGTCGACCCGCCCCACCCCGTACCTAGGGGTGGGATTCGGTACGCCGGTAAACGGTTTACCGTTTTACCGAACCGTTTACCGGCGGTATCGGCGGCCCGAGCGGCGAATTGGGTGGGTCGGTATACCGAAACCGGTATCGGTAAATACCGACGGTAATTCGGTAATACCGAATACCGAACCCCAAAACGAGCGGCGATCATCGAGCCTCCTCCCCCACCTCCGCCAGCGCAGACGGATTTCGCCAATCTGGCTGGGTTGCTCACAGTTCCATCAGGATGGAAGCCAGGGATGGCTGTGCTTCTTCCCCTGCAAACTAGTGTTTTCCAATTAGAAGTTGATCTGTTATGAGAAGTAACTTTGACATAGAAAAAAGATTATCTAGCGACTGCATGGCTCAATTGATGAAGGAGAAGAGATAGATTTAGATTGTTCTGGTTTTACATCAGAGAAGAGGGGAGAGAGACTAGAGAGAGGAGGAGAGAGAGGGGAAAAGATGACTGGTGAGTTTGACGGTGGGTGAATGGCTAGGATAAGGGGAAAGTAAAAAAAATTTGGAATACTTAATTTTTCTAAAAGAAAAGAGCGAGTGTTCTACTTTTTCTTGGAATTTTTTTATCAAGTATTAGAGTTATGTTATTAGGAAAATTAAAGCTAAAAACTTCATATTATTTGTATGGTTATACTATTTTAGAATTAGTAAACATATTTTAAATTATTTATATGTAATGCATTATATATATATATATATATATATATATAAACAATTAACATAATATAATAATGACGCTCTCTTCACGCTTTCGATTTAAATTTTTTGTATGATAGACGCTTTCATGCTCTCGCTCTCGCTCCACGAACTGGTTACCTAAGTCCAGATTGATATTGAGGATCATGATGAGGATAGCAGTGATTACACCAGCAGCGAGGAAGGCAGTTCTGATGATGACGATTGAGGGAGACATGCGTTTTTGTGAAGTGGTGGATGATAGAGTGCCTTTGTGATGCTGAAAGATGAAGGTTAGTATAACACACTTTTTATTGACAGTGAAAAATTTATGCTTGTGATATTGCAGTCAGTGTTAACATGTGGTGAGGTGCTGCAAGTTTTGCATTCTGGTTAGTAATATAATGTAATAACTGTTAAGCTGAAGTCCTGAATCCCGATGTTTAGTTTTTTGGGAACCATACGGATTTCTACTTCCCAAAAATAAAAATATAACAACATCTTCCCCACTAACAAAATTTCGGTTCGGTAAATGGTCGGTAAACCGAACCGAAAAACCGCCCCACGTCGCCCTTTGCGGTAATTCGGTAAACCGGTTTGTAACCGTTTACCGGTAATTCGGTAATCGGTAAACCGGTTACAAACCGGTATCGGTAAACGGTAAACAGTTTGGCCAACGTCGGTATACCGAAACCGGTAAATTCGGTAAACGGTTTACCGTTTACCGACCGATTCCCACCCCTACCCGTACCCGTCCCGACCTGCAATAACGTGGGGGTGGGGCAGTGGTATTGAGGTACCCACCTTGCCCAGCCCATTGCCATCACTAATACTATAAGATCCAGACCAGGCCACGCCTATGCGATCTAGTCCAAAATGGTCTGATCCATATATACCACTTTGAATGAAAAATGAACAATTTGTTTAGTCAACCACATGAAAAATTGAACTAATAATTGAGATTTTTTTGCCTTGGAATATAAATTCCAACTTGCGTGAATAATTTTGACACCCTAAACCTCAATAGGTAACAAATATACGAAGTCAAAGCATCTCAACTTGCACCTAATGTCATAAACATTAACATAATGTCATATGGAAACACGATTGTCTCTGCACTCTATTGAAATGTGGTTGTGAATGAATGAGGGGACGAGATTCTCAAAATTAGAATTGAGACTTGAGGCTCGTTGGGAAGAGTTGTGAGAGTGGTTGAGTGGGCTGCTAACACGTATTGAGAAGTCTGTTGAATCCACAATTTGGTACGATAAACCACGGTCTAGACCAAACCATACCAAGAGATAAAAATATTATATTAAACAGATCATGTACCAAATCAGATCATTGCTAACAGTTTTCTATCCAGACCGAACTGTATAGTCCAATTTGATTCATGACTTTTGAAACGGTCTAGTCTATTTTTCTAGTGCTAATTTAGATTTGCTACAATTGACTATGGGCCGAACTGTATAGCCCAATTGACTATGGGCCTAGTAAATCTCACAAGTCATAACCCGCTAATACATAGGCCGAGCCCAAGGTGCCGATTCCAATCATGAGCATACGTGGGCAAAGCGTCGGCGGCGCGCAAGTCGCCAAGTATCTATTTTCCCATTTTCCCGTCACTGCACCAAAAACCCAAAGCAAAGCCGAGCAGACAGCAGCACCCAAAGAAAGCGTCGCCGCTGCCGGAGATGGGGACTCGGGAGGTTTACGAGGAGAAACTACGGAACGGGAATCTACATCACGATCCCACCATCAACCCTGGTCTCGGCACTCCTCGCTGCCCTCGCTGCCTCTCTCTCCTTGACGCTGATTCCGAGAAGGGTGAATGGACTATAACTTCCGTTTTGCACGACGCCACCGCCGTGGTTAGTTTCTCCAATCGTCCCTCATTCCCTGCCTTTTAGTTCTATGAACTGCTAGGCACCGGGGTTGGAAAAGGATGAGTAGTTCTACTGTAGATTTGGTTGATTATCTGGAGTTTTTGACCTGAATTACTGTCTACTCTGGTGAATTCAGCTAGGTTCGAATTGGTTGATCGCTTGTTGGTGATTCTTGGAACGAGTTTCTGATACTGAATCAGACTAAGTTTTGTACCTAGGTTCGCTTATAAATCGCTAATTGATCGAATTCTCGTTGCAATTGCAATCGTCATAGTTGTGTTTTCCCCTATCCCTGACAACTGAGAGGGTTTCCGGATTAGATTGTAATCTTCTTGATTAATAGAACGTGGTAGTTACTTTTCTGGTAGGTGTCACTGATTAGAGTTGTGCTTTACTGTTAAATTAGGCTGGTTCTGGCATTGGTGCGATGCTTAGTGCCGTCCATGGTTGTAATACAGGTAAGCTGAGTTTGGTTCTATTTATTTCAGATGGTTTTGTTTCTTTATCTTTGGGCCTCTCTGTTAACTGTCGTGCTATTTCAGGGATCCCATTCCTCCAGAATCGTCTGAAGGGACCCAAGTGGCTTCCGTTCGTAGTTGGGGTTGGTGTTTTATCCTAATCCTTGAATTCTTTGCACTTCTCTTTCCTTTTGGTGGCATACAAGCAGGTTCTGCCTTGCATTTTCTATTGAACTTTGCCAACATCATCATTTTCTGATCTGGAGTCTACTCTTTGCTTTACTTGCAGGTTCCTCCACTGCTAATGTACTCTGGTGCATCTGCTGCTTTTGGAGGTACGCGATCAAACCTCTTTAAGTTTTCATTGTTTATGTAGTCATTCCTTACTTTCACCCTACAAGCGTCTATATCCGCCCTCAACTACTAAGAACCCTTTTGGGTGTGGCCTTCAATTGGGAAGTTCTCCTAGTTTCTTATTGTGTCTAGGCACCACCATCAACCAAAACTGCGTGCTTCTATTCCTAGTGTGCTCAATCCGCTAGGATGCCATTTCATCCACCATACAGACAATTTTTACCCCATTTTATGTGTTTGGACTTGAGAGAGGAGGGCTGGGGTATGGTGATTGCTGGAAGGATGGCAGGCTGCTTTGATAGTAGCATCAGTTATGGTAGCTGGATTTTTAAATATCATATTTAGTTTGGAGCCTTGTATGCTACGCAGGACTCCCTTGCATAGGTTTATTGAAACAATAGATTTTCTTCAACCACCTGTTTGTATTATTTATGTTGTGTGACATTGAATGATCCCAACTTTCATGGTCATTCTGATTCCATTCTGAGCTGTATTTTTTCGACCCATCAAAATATCCCATGTTTGCAATGAGCATCCCTTGGGTTGGTGATTATGCTTAATTGCAAGGATCACTTTTTATGACAATATTTTTTTTTTTTGCAATTGGGGATGCTTCTACTTGAAAGGTTGCAGAAATCTTTTCATTTTTGAGACTCAGCTGTAACCTACATATTCTGGCAGTTTGGTTTTCATGTTGTGGCTTCAATTTTTGCTAATGTAGATAAGAATACCAAGCATATCCTTCCAATATTAGGAGTATTATCTTGACCAATGTGCATCTTTAAACTTTATGTGCAAATATTTTGATATTTGGATTCTTGGAGGACCTCTATTTATTTACGGACTTACTTTGTAGGCTACGTGCTTCCTAAGTTCACTCAACTCACAGTGACTTCTTACTACGCTGCATCAAGTGCCTCACATTATGGGATTTCACTGCTCACACGGAAAATTGAGGAGGGCCATATTTCAAGAGTTGAGCAAGAAAAGCGCAGATGATTTCTGGATTCTTCAGTTTTGTAACTAGAGTTGTATGTGTAGGTATAGGTACATGAACTTTAGGTGGATCCTATCACCTCGAAATTTCGTTATCATAAGGAATGTTGTGATACACATGGCAATCGTTGGCATACTTGCAGCGTTTGGCTCACTTGTGCATGTTTTTTTAAACCTGAAATGCATATAGTTTTGAGAGGAATGAAAGTTAGCCTACAGCTGATGATAATCAAACTATCTGAACGTTTTAAGATTGGTATTCAAAGATGAACAACTTGTTAGTGGTACTTGTATAGTGTGATGGAGAATTTGATTTTCTTGAATGAAAGATGGAGCCTTTGTTCCTTTGCCGGTTAGATGCTCCACAAAAGAAGTTCCTTTGGCTTGTAGGCCCCTACCACTCAATGCATATGCTCATACAGGCTATGTAAGTATTCATTTTTCTCAGCACCAATGGACGTGTAACATTTTAATCTTTACTCTGTTAAGTTTGTTCCATAGACTCAATAGTAATGATTCAGTGGAAGCGAGATAGGGGTCAAATATGTCCATGTATTGCTGATGTTAGCGTGGGTCTTGCTGATGATTAAGAATTGGAACTGCCTTGAAGCTTCATTATTATTAATTTCCCTTATCTAGATTCCATGCTGGATCTTGTTATGTACTTATGTCGACAGAACATCAGGTGGCTGAGACCCCAGAAGAGAAGTGGGTTAGCTGTGACAGTTGATAGTGAGTTGCCAGTCCAATTCAAATGGTGAAAAGAGTTGGCGAAAACTGGATGGGATACAGTAAGGAATCCTCTGCTTTGCTGATATTTTATTTGTGCAAGTTGCTAGACAGGATTTATTGAGGGAACCAGAATAAAAACAGCAGAGTAGACATCATAGTGGTAAATGTCCAATGAGGCAATGACAAGCATTGATCTGGCCACATGGTGTGTAACTATATATGTTGAGTCTGGTTGCATTTATGTGCATAGCAGAATGCTTCTTTAATCCTTGCACACTAGTTCAAGCCAGCGAGCCAGCCAATAGACTACCTAGTAGTAAAGGAATTAGAGAAATAGGCGAAAGCAGAATGCCTTCCTTTCTGTTGGCTGGTTGAGAAGGCTTTGCTTTTTGTTCCAGATTTGGAGCCTAGCTGATACAGCAACAACTACTAGGTGCAGGTTAGCAAAAGTAGGGTTGAGCAGCTACTGTATAAACTGTCAACCTCGTTGAGCAACTTTATAGGGTCGTGGGCCGCTGTCTCTTAAATCCCACTGCTCTTTCATTTTCTCTAATGTTAAAGAGTATACATATGTACATATGTAATGTAACTGCAGGCCAAAGCTGGAGAGAGACCACTGATGAAGGGAGAAAATGAGAGATACAAACAACTGATGAAAGTGGATGTGGTCCTAGAATTATACATAATGGTAATGTACTCTTTTTGCCCACTTTCTATTCCTTCTTCATCTCTCTAAACTCTTTTATTGTGTCTCTTTATAGCATCTTCCTCCCATCACATGCCTCTCTATCTCTCTTTCCTTTCTCTTGTTGAGATATGGCATTTTACATGTGGACCCCTAGATTGTTGGGGTGGAGGTGTGGGGCAGGTTGATTGATAACTGAGCTTCTTTCATCATTTTCCTTCTGGGGGTGCCCTTAGTTTTGAGGTCAGTCCATTTCAGTTTTTACTGAAGTTTGCAACTGGGTTGTCTTTGAGAGGGATAGCAGTGTCTGTTTGTGAAGGTTTTTTGTAGGTGGTGGCTGGTGCCAAACTCCCTCCCATTTTGTTTAATAGGGGAAAACAAAACTCTGGATGTGGCTACTGGCTAGTAGGAATTTTAAGTGGGGTGGATTTTTTTTGGTTAGAAGTTGTCTCTATACCAATGTCCCATAAAAAGCATTCACACCACCACCATCATCATCATCATCATCATCATCGATGTCTGTACAAAAATCTTCATAAATGCTTTATTCTTATTATTGCCCTTTTGATGCTTGCAACCACACAATGAAAGAAAGGCGGGTGGGGGGATGGTTGTAAGCTACTTCTTTTACCGTTCCCCTTAACTATTGGGAGTCCTGCTATTTCCAGACTTAGCAATTTACTGTCCCTCCTTTTTATCATCACATATATTCATGTCTCTTTTCTTTTTAACTCCCCTCTGTTTTCAGACTTTTTGGCACTCAGTTCTATCATGCACTTAAGCTCTCTGTGTGGGTAAAGGTTTCAGAATAGTGACAGTGCAATAGGGGCTCGTAAATTTCTTGGTACTTTGTGCAACAGTTATAGATTGGGCGGATAGATACATACACCGCTTATACGTGGAAACAGACTGACCACCTCCCCTTCCCCCCTTTAGCTTCTCTCTCTTTCTCCTTTTTATGGCATGTCTAGGCACAATCACTGGAACAAGAGTTTTCTCAATCTAGTTTGACAACAAACTTCCCTCCTCCCATCCACTTTGATCATCAATATATATATTAATGGATCATTGCTTGCCATGAGGGTATGATTGTGACTGCATTTTACATGGCTGGTTTGATCAAATCACCACATTATTTATGAAGACAAGGAATTTCTTTGGATGGGATCTTTATAGGGGTTACTGTGAATGGAAATGCGGTGGTTTAAAATTCCCTTCCAACAAACTGTTCGCTGATAGATAATTTGTCTGCATTTAATGAAGTTTAGCTGGCTGTCCACATTTTGCAACCCCTCCCTTGTCTTTTAGCTTCATTAATGATCAATCTCTTGTGTTTTATTACTTTGGTTTGTTTGAATTAACTCATACGTAGACTTGGATGGCATAGCCTTGCTGTCAGTATTGTGATTTAGCTAATTATACTGCGTTGGAGTGGTTAACAAGTTAGATTAGTTAAACTTACCATCTCTGTCTGGCCTTTTACTTACTTGGTACACATTTTGAGGAATTGGTTTAGGAAACGGAGTTTACTCGAAATGCTCAGAGAAGTAGCTTTAACTTGGAAAAGAACACCAACCTCAGCTCACTCTTTGCAGCCTGCTTCTAAGTCAGGTACGATGGTGAAGCCGTGAAGCTAAAGCTCTTGTTGTTCTTTTGTGCTCTACTTTGGATGCCACTAGGTGAAGTCTGTTACAAAAACGTTTTTGAGAAAAATAATTAATAATGGAACTACCATGGTTCCTTCAACAGACAAGTTCACTGATATTAACATAGATTTAACTGCTCTCTTTAGTCTTTACCATGAGTGATCTAATGGTAAATTTTTTTTTATCATCTATCAGATTATGTGCTTTGAATATTTGTCGCCATGATTGAGCTGACGATTAGGTGTGTCCTAGTTTCGACGAATGAATTCGAACTTATAACTTCTTTTAAACAAATCCAACACCTTAACTAGCAGAGCTACAACTTTGTTGCCTGTTGGTTTATTTTTGTTTGTACTTCATTGAATACTTGTCTTGTTACTGGATGTAGTTACAAGAGAAGAGTTAAAAATGTAGCCTTTCCAATCCGATTCTTCTCCATAATAAGCTCAAACTCGTATGGTCCGTCTAATTGTTCTTCCTTTTATCACTGCCCTTTGATGATCTCTTTCTTTCTTCTTCACCCATCTCTATCTTGTACAGCTAATTTACGCTGAGAAGTAACCCCACCCATATCAGCTGCTGCTCATCTCTCTCCATCGCAAACATAAAAGCCACAGTACAGCTGAGACCTTACAGTTTGAACCCAAGACATGAAAATTTGAAGCCATAAAAAAAAGAAGACCAGAGTACTTGAAAGTGAAATCAATAGGAATTGGGTCAGTGGGACTGTGTAAATTTAACTATCCCTTGTTTTGTTGGTTGTATGTTACTTTAAGAGCCATGGCCTCACGGTAGGACACATCTTTTCCATGCAGGGTCGGGACATCGGTTGGTTTTGCTATTTATGTAACCCATCATTGCATGCTTCTCCCAGCGGGGGAAAAAAAAAAACACACACGAGAGAAAAAGAATCTATTATAATATGTAAGCGTTAATTCTCATTTTATTGATTAAGTTTAACTATGATAGTATTTAAATTTGTGCTTAACTTAACAAGTTTGGCGCAGGTTTTTGTTAATGTGGTTTGATTCTAAATTCTAATGCAATGACACAATTAAGAAACGGTAAAATCGAGGTTGGAGTGATTCGAATTGCTTCTTTATTTAGGCAGTTGGAATTGTTTGTCCCTTTTTCAACAGAGCAATTCGAACTACCTCAGCTCCAATTGCTACATCTGATTTGTGTATTAGCCAAATGGTGCATTTTGGTCTAATTGCCCACTTTTGTGACAATGGAATCAAATTGTTTCATCGAATTGCTCTATTCAAAATACGGACTTTTGGGTTCATTACATTTATTTCACATTTCTGTACTTATTATTACACTTGATGAGTTGGAGTAACTTCTGAACGAGTGTGTGGAAATTCAGGGGTTGTGACAAGTGAGTCAGACAATAAGCATTGTTTATCTGGAACCTAAACTCTAAGACTAAGAGTGTGTGTTGGCCTTGACGTTCAATGTTTTCGTTTTTGCCATGTATATTGTTTGGTTTTTTTCTTATTGAAGGAGGTTCCGCTTATGCTTGTTCGATGACTTCTCTTGCTCGCTTTCTGTAAAAGTCAATGTTTCAGCCTTTCAGGTTGAATCGTTGTAAGTGCTTCAAAATTTTATTAGTACATGAACATATCATTCATGAAAAGGAATCTTAGTACATGGATGAACAAGAATCCATCTGGTGACGGACCACATGATTAATAATACACAGTTGGTGGATTCATAATGTTGCACAAAGACATGACCATGTTGAATATTTAGACAGTGTTGGTAAGCTGGAAAATTGGACAGAAATATACATTAATTGATGACACTCTGTTTCTACTTTCTAGTACTACTCTATTGGTCGCAGTTTCATTTCATATGGTTGCACTTTGTATGCCACAACCCGTTTGTCTCGAACATGTTTTCTTTATAAAATTAATTGCTCATAATTTGGTTGGGTTGGGTTAGGGGGCTTAAACATTGAGTTGCTTGCTTGCGGTGGTGGAATTAGGTTGAAATTAAATTGATTGCGTAACTCCTCTTATTTTTAAAATATAGATAAAATTATATGTAAAATTTCCATAAATTTAAAAAGTAGAATAATTAATAAGGTTTTAGCCCCCTCCTGCAATTATGACAACTCAAGTCAGCATCTCATTCGGATTTTTGGCTTTGCCACTTATCAAATGTGGGCATAATTAAATTTGCCACACTTAAGCTGATGCGTCTACAGGTCCTCACGTTATACATCACTCATCCAGATTTCTTTTCATTTTGGACAACATTATAGATGACATGCATGGTTTAAAACGTTTGATATAATATATGCTGTCACATCTGCCCTTGCATCATGAAACTAAGACCAAATAATGATTAAAGGAAACATTAATATGTTGATTGCGAAACTATTAATTCACACACTTTGTGTTTAGTAGTTTATGAGTTGGATGTAATAAACCGACTCCAATGAACTGCGGGATTGGTTAGCTTGCTAACCCATAAGCATTGGAAAAATGACACCCCTTATAATAAATGCAACTTATGTAATTTAACACTCATATTAAATAAACTTAAGAAATTAAATGCACCATATTAATTACTTGTCTTTTTAATTTAAACCTACACTAAATACAATTCTCTCTCCCTATTTCTCATTCTTACTTTCCAGCAGCCTCTGACCATCACACTTCTCCGGTGAAATCGCGCCGGCAGAGTCAATCCGACCACCCGCAAAAATGTACCACTACATTAAAAAAAATGTACCAGTGCAGTGATTCGTTGTACCACTGAGTGATATTTGTACCAGTGCACTGATATCTCTACCCGTGCACTGATATCGTTACCAGTGCATTGGTAACGCTACAAGTGCACTGGTACAAAATATCATATATGAGTTTAAGTGCAGTGGTACAAAAATCATACAGTGGTACAAAAATCATAAATGAAAATTGAAAAATCAAATCAGAAAAATCAGAAATCGAAAAATCATAACGACGACAACATAACGAGAGGGAGGAGAGAAGAAGGATTACTTGCTTTTTTTTGCATAGAGAATTGTATTTAGTAGGTTTAAATTTGAAAAAAGCAAGTAATTAATATGAGGTATTTAATTCCCAACGTGTTTTAATATGAGTGTTAAATTCTACCACTTTCATTAATACTTACCAAACGATTGAGGAAAAATGGACCAATAAGAAAGGAGTGTCAAAAATCAAACCCATTTGAGAGTAGTCACCGTAGCCTACCCATGAATTGTGGATGTCCTATACTCCTATTTAAGGAATGGAGATGTGGTGAAAATTATCTTTTAAAGTGACCATAGCATCATTATTTAAAAGTTTATATCTTTCTAGCATTGTTTAAAATAAAATTATCAATTAGCTTCTCAAAATTTTGTATTATTTACGAGACCATTTTCAATTGTTGTTAAAGCTAATTCATTAAACATTTCTTGTGTCATTATTGAACACAAATAGGATTTTGACGCACAAGAATGAATTTAGCAATCATTATTTGTGCCTATATATGCATGAGAATATTGACATATAATTAAAAGTATCGTCATACTCATAATCAATTCACCGTACACCATAAATACAACTTATAATAGTTAGCCCTATGTATAATCAATTGCTTAACAAATACAAATGATGGAATGCATAACTTTGAACAAATATTTTAAATCCGAACGGCTATTGCATTGCATGAGACCGACGGATAGGTAGTTGGGCACGAGGGGCATCCCTAGAGATGTAAGATATCATATAACCCTTAATTAACTTTGTACACAAGAAGCAAGTGTGGGAATTTATCATACATGCACAAATACATAAATTTGTAAAAGAAAAAACACAAATACATACATTTATACGTACGCATGGGGCTTTGCCGTCACTTTGTATCATTATACGAATTGTATACACATGCATGCGCAGAGTACAGAAGAAAAGGTATAATGGCTGTCCGGCGCCAACTCCCAACTGACAAATCATTTTCATTTTTCTACTGCCGATCCATTGATAATAATAATATTATAATAATAATAATAGTAATAGTAATAATAATAATATTTTTTGGTGGAAATAATTATAATAATTTTTTTATAAAGCCATCACGGACATTAATTCAGACCTTATCCCTTTCTTATATTATATAATATAGCTAGCCCATGACTGTACCAATATTATAAAATAGAATAATATGTCTATCTGTATATTGTGTGTCTCCAATTCCACCTACATATATAATTCTCACCACTTGTACATGTGTATGCGTGCCTTGAGTTCAATCTTCCACACTGTTCCATTCCATTCAGGCACTCTGAGTTTCAACATTCGGTATATATATGTATCTCTGTAGCAGATTCTCAAAACATTTTTGTATCTTCTCCACACGTGTTTAAAAATGAAATGTAAAAAAATTAATTAATTAAAATCAGCAAAAAATTAAACATATTGTTGTAACGATAAACCGGTTTTTCGGTGTAAAAATTTCAATGAGGTCAATTGATCAATCCCTGAACTTTCTCGTTTTACTCGTTCTAATACTTAGGAGGCTTTTTCAGCTGTTCGTTCTGATACATCAAAGTCATTATTCCTAGATGGGCCTTGTTCAACCAAAACATTTAAAATTCTTCAAACTGAAAAGATTAAGACAGCATTCCTATTGACATTACATTATACATTTCACACGAGTAATAATGTCTTGCAATTTTCAATCAATATGACAACTCAATTTAGTAAATTAATTGTGCTGACAAGGAAGGAAATAGTTATGGCCGTCGAAGCTGAAAGCTGATTAATCGGCTTAATTTTCGCGACATAATTAATTATACAAAATGGGGGGAAGAAAGAAAGAAGCTCTCTAAAATCTCCAATTGCATTAATGCAATTGTAGTGTCATTGGAATAATTAAAAATTAATTGTTTTTTACTGAGAGGCTTTCAGATTAAAAAAAAAAATTGGTTACAGATGAAGATCTAAACTCACGTGAAGATCCTGGTGCTGCACATTCGGGTTCGGGCCGTACCCGAACCGCCCTTGTGACCCGCCCTTCACCTCCTCCCCTCCAAGTAACGGCAACGGAGCATGCTGCGCCGCCGCCGCCTTATCCCGAAGAAAAGCAGCAGAGCCGCCGGACGGAATACGCCACAACCCCAGTGGACTCCCCGTAATGGGCTGCTGCTGCTGGTGCGACGAGGAGGAGTAAGAAGAGACGCCGGCTCCGTTGCCGTAAAACCTAGAAGAAGCAGACGTCCAGCTGGAGGAGAAGGGCGCGTGGGTGCTAGCTCTGTAGGTAAGAGGCGCGTAGAAAGGGTGGTCGGAGAGGTAAGAGGTGGTGGTTCCGGCGCCGTGGAGGTGGGCGCGCTTGGCGTGCTGGCGCTCCCGCTTGTGTGCGTTCTGGTGGCCGCCCAACGCCTGGGAGGTGGGGAAGTTGCGGCAGCAGTAGTGACACTCGAACCGCCTGTTGTTGTTGTTGTTGCTGCTGCTGCTTTTGTCGCTGTTGTTGGTTTCCGCCACGGCGGCGCCCTTCTCTTTAGCGACCATATTGTTGTTGTCGTCGTCGTCGTTGCTGCCAATCGTTGTGGTGTGTTGTTGTAGGTCGTCGGTGGGAGTGGCGAATTCGATGCCGAAGAGGCGAATGGGCTTGTTGTCGGATCTGGTGGAAGAAGGGGAAGGGCGGATGAAGGGAAGCTGGGAGAAGGATTGGACGTTCATGAAATCGTGGGTCTCCCTTTCTGTCCCCATTCTTTTTTTTTTCCCTTCTTATTATATAGTATTATTAGACTACCTACTCGTTCACTCACACGGCCGCCAATCTATGCACATAAAAAAAGATTCTCCAAGCAAAGGGAGAAGGAATTTTGGGTAAGTAATAGGAATGGGGAGCTAGCTGGGAAAGAAGGAGATGGGGGGAATGGGGAAGTTTTAAGGATTAATGGGAGGGAGGGAGGGAGGAGATGTTGTTGGGGGGAATGAAGTGAAGTGGGGTCTATAAAGGGGAAGGAAGAGAGTTTGGTTTTTTTGGGGGGGCAGAAGAAGAGGTACAAATGGAGGGATGGATGACTGAAAAGGACCCTATTCATTATGAGAGAGAGAGAGAGAGAGAGAGAGATGTGTAAGCTCCATGAAAGAATTATGCAACCAATGTCCAATGCCCTCCATCGCACTCACAAGTTATGTTTCAGATTCAAAGGTTTTTTCCCCTTTAATTCTTTCCTACTTAATCACCTGGTTTTGTTGGATTATTTCCCTAAATACAGTGAAAATTAAAAGTAATTCCCACAATACATCACTTTTATAAATATTTCCCAAAATACCAAAGTTTGAACGGGATCGAGTTTGGAAAACTCGAACTAGTTGGTAGATCGACTGTTAAAGAATCGATCCATGTGCATCGAGTGAAACAGCCGCGATTGGCTGGAACAGGACGACGCGGATCGAGTGTGATAAACTCGATTTAACTGGATCGAGTACGCGTCACTCGAACTGGTTGACATGGATCGCTGACATAAGCAGCGCTCCACCCTAGATCGAGGTAAGAAGAATCGAACCACACCGTTCGATGGCCAAGCCCGCGATTTAGTGGCGACGCGGATCGAGTGGGGAAAAAGCGATGCAAGTGGATCGAGCTCCATCAAATCGATCCAACTGACGCGGATCGATGACGTCAGGACCGCTCCACCGTAGATCGAGTTTGCCAGACTCGATCTGGGTTGTTCGATGTGTATTCACTCGATCTGCAATTGACGCGGATCGATGGCAGGAAAATCGAGGCACTGGTTCGAGTCCTGTAAACTCGATCCACATCAACCACCTGCATCTATATATTCCCCCTCCCATTCCACCAAATCCCACACCACTCCATTCTTCTTCCTATTCCTCCCACCACTCTTGAAGAAAAAAATATGCTCTGTGGTTGCGGCTAAGCCCGATCTTCCGCATCAGATTTTTTTTCTTTAGTTTGGTACTTCTATCACTCAAAATTGTCGGGATGGATCCGAGTATTTACGATCCTAGATTATACATTCAAGGCGGACCGCGAGAAACCGATTTGTTGGATGAGCAACCTTACCATCGGTCTGAAAGTGTTTGGGCGGCAGATCCGGTAAGCACTTCCTCATTTACTTTTCTTTTTTTAAATGTGATAGTATTCTTCTAATTTTTTTTGTATAATAATTAATTTTTTTTTTCTACAGGAACAACTTGACGTAATCACCCATCGGTCGCTATCTCGCTTGCCTAAATGGGATGATCGTATCGAGCCCTTCATTGAAAGAGCGCGATTGCTGAGGGTGCGAAAGTTTGTGGGGATGGAGATGGACAACAACCTTCTTACGGCAATGGTGGAAAGATGGAGAAAAGAAACGCACAACATCTGATATGCTGCTTGGTAGCGTTCAACGAACCATGTCACCGTACGAAAGAAGGTATGCAAGACTATAGATGAGATAGGCATTGCACGAAGACCAACATACAAACCATTGAGGCACTCACCCATGTTCGTTGTTGTTATTCCATACCTATACCCTTCGTCTTGATGTAACGTCCACCTCTCATAAGGATGAGTTTCTAGCCAATCTGCACCTTCAGAGTGGACCTCCCTTATGCTCTTCATTTTGTCTACAAACTTTCGAGTCTGAAAAGCAATAGCTACAATAAAGCAAAATAAGGTTAGTAAAGGAGTATACACATTCAACCAATTGATATAATCACAACATCTTATTTGTTCTTACCAGCGTGCCAAACTGCACGTTGTCCATAAGTTCTACCAAAGTGCTTCCCGTAATTGCTTTTGAAATGTCGTATGCACCATCGCCACTTCCACCCTAGCTCCTCGGGCAGGTCGTAGAAAGCATGTCTAATTCCATGGTGTCGATCAGAAAGTATGGCAATGTCGTTCCGTTGAGTGACACGAGTGTATAGTTGGGAAAAAAACCATGCCCAACTTAAGTTGTTCTCCGATTCGACTATAGCAAAAGCAAGGGGGAAAAGTTGCATACTTCCATCAACACTAGTGGCAACGAGTAGAGTGCCCTTGTATTTGCCGGTCAGAAAGGTGCCATCAACTTGGATTATTGGCAGACAATGGGTGAAACCATCAATGCAAGGTTTGAATGCCCAAAATAGTCTCTTAAACACGCGTTTAGCACCTCCATAGAAATCTTCGTAACTAGGCACAAAAACAGACCCAGGATTCTTGTCCTCCATTGCAAGAATCAAACGAGGCATGTTAGCTAATGACTCTTCCCAATCACCATACACCTCTGCCATAGCTTTTTGCTTCCCATGCCATGCTTTCTTGTAACTGATGGTATAGCCATGTCGATTCTTCACTTCAGCGATGACACTCTTCACGGTGATCCCAGGTTGTGCCTCAATCAGATGTTTGATTGTTTTTGCAACCTTCCTTGCACTCAATTGTCGGTGATCTAGAGAAATCAGTGACGACCTACAAGTGTGGTTGTTGTCTGTCTTACGAATGAGCCAAACCCCATTTCTTTTAACATATGCCGCCCGAACATGCCACATGCATCCATCGCCATGGTTCTCGCAACGAACATGAATTTGTTTAGTGTCAGAAGTGATGACACGATATTGAAAGCTTCTTCGCATAGCAGTTTCTTTCAATGCATCGACCACCTGTGGCTTTCCTGCAAATGTTTGGCCAACCACGAATCCAGAGTCAGGAGTCCAGATTGGTATAGGAGGGAGGTCAGGATCGTCGTTGTGAGCATAGAGAGGATGTTGTGGCACCATCGTGTAGTGAGGTGTGGGGGGCTCAAATTCCCCCTCGTCAACTTCCAGATCTTCACCATCTGAACTACTCATTGATTCTAACTCTTCGTCTTCCACGTCGCTTGCCTCGCTAGTGTACGGAGGACTTGGTTTATCCACATATGGATCATTGTTGATGCCAGATGCTGCTGTAGATGCTTGTCTGGGTGCCCTTATGTAATCCCATTCTCCACCCCATACTGGCCACTCCTGTCCGTCATGTTCCACCAATGGACCAGTTGCAGTTCGATCCTCGTATGTTGGCCATCATGCCGCACTCTGAAATCTCCTGAACCGGAAAAACCTCCCGATCCTTCACCTTGTTCGGTATAACCGCCCCCACCATATTGGCCAACAACTTCTGTCTCGACATACACCTCAGCAGTTGGAAATCTGTTCTCTGCAATAAATCTCATCATCATATTAACATCATCATCGTCAGACAAAACTGATCCTTCATATACAAGTGCATAATCCTTGTAAACCGGCATACGGTAAGTCATCTTGCATACTCTTCTCCCTCCTATGCAACATCGTTCCGCACAAATATGGCTGAGTTCTTGCCAAGTAAATATGCTCTTAATCGGGACAGTACTTGATTCACCATCTTCGTAGTCAATACTATCATGAAAATGGGTAATTCGACCATTCCACCGAATCAATAAGTCGAATTTTCGAAAATTTCTACCCATTTCTGCAGTTTATAGAAGAAGCAGCTCATTACATACAGTACAAACAATTCTAAATTAATCTAAAATTCTAATACGCTCATTCAAACAACGTAAGCAGAACTTACCTTCAAAAATTTTCTTCTTTGGTGGTGAGCTATGGTGCTCCAGCTGCTGCAGATTGTGTTTGGAGAAAGTAAAAGAGCTGCCAGAATGTGCTAAGTGAGGGCTTTTTATCCTCGTAAACTGATGCAGTGGTTCGAGTCTAATACACTCGATCTACACTAGTTCGAGTTTATTAAACTCGATCTACGCCATCCAATAATTTCCCCCCTGCACCCTATTCTGAAACATGTCGGACCGAAAGCGACTGGACAGAATTATTGACCAAGTAGTTCGAGTTTAGTGTAATCGAACTACCCTAGTTCGAGTCCTTAAAACTCGATCTATGATAACAAAGAATCTTATCCCTGCAACCTTATCGTGAAGCATGTCGGTGGGCCTGTAGTTCGAGTCTTTCAGAATCGATTTACCTAGTTCGAGTCATAGGAACTCGATCTAGTGCAGATAAAGATCGAGTGTGTTAAAGTCGTTGCAATGCATCGAGGTTTCAGGGGTCGATCTATCTAAATCGAGTTGCCCGTACTCGATCTACTGGATCGAGTTTGTCTTCATCGATCTAGTGAGATCGAGTTCTTTGCCATCGATCTATGTTGTTCGAGTTTGTCATCATCGATCTAGTAAGTAGTTCGAGTCTTATAAACTCGAACCCTTTGAAACTTGGGTAGTTTGGGAAAATTTTATAAAACTTATGTATTCTGGGAATTATGTATAATTTTTACGGTATTCTGTGAATTCTTCCGATTTTGTTTGATGGCCTTCTTTTTTCCTTTCTGGGTTTTCATGAGCGTTGGCGGGTCCTGGAGCGTCACTCTATCGTTAGCATCGCTTCACTAGCTATTAAGAAGTTTCAATATGCACTAGTCTGTGTGCGTATGATGCTCTTTGGATCCATGCCAATATTTGCGACTAGTTTTTTTTTTATAAAGAGTAATTTTGCATTCAATTATGAATGATCGATAACAGAGAGGGAAAAAATGAAAAAAACGAAAACCAAATAAGCATAAAGTGTCTCAGAGCAATTAATCAGTTGAAAACAGATTGTGCTCGAGACATACGCAAGTAGAAGAGCAAAACAAAGAGTGAGATCAACCATTCACAGGACCTGAACATGCACTTGATCCAAAAGCAGTACATTCGGAATCCCTCTTCCAACAAACCAAACATAGTAGCAACAAGGTTAGAATGAGTTCATCCAACCACAATGAGGTGTTTTGAACATAAAACTTTCCAAAATTTACATAATGCTCCAAAGTTTGAATATCATTTGGATTCATGAATCCAATAAACCAATTCATTTGATTAAATCCATAAATTCGCCAATGCATCCGATAAAATAATTCATCAATACACCAGTCAATGAACCCAATCACAGTAGGTCACATCTATTTCCTTGTGAATTGAAAATCACCAGGCGATGGCATAAGATGCAAGAAATTAAAACCTGGATGGTTGGTCAGAGATGATCTCAATCGGTGGACTAGTTTCATTCAATGAAAGTTCTCTGAGGTGTTAATAAGCGCCCTTTGGTGATCAATAACAGTATGCTAAGAATCTTCTCATTTTAGGTTTTTGGATGAGCATATTACTTGGTGGATTATATGGATGATAGTACTATGTCAACTAAAGCGCATAGAGTCGATTTAGGAAGTTGATTGAGCTAGTGATTCGTTGGAATCTATATATCTAATTAATCTGTATTCATTTGAAAACGATACACAATTTTTGTTCTCCTTTGTTATGTTTTTTTTTTTGGTGAAACTATGTAATGCTAATGAAACTAGAGAGAACACAAGTGAATGGTTGCATCTGATAGGTGTTTCGTTGACTCGAGTTCGAGACGAGCTTCAAAATTCTAGCTCGGACTCGGGCTCAACGAGCCAACTAAACGAGCATCCAGCTCTAAGTATTAACTTTTGAGTTCGACGACATCAATAGAAGCCAAACTCTTGGGTCATGAAGACAAATCCCACATTGAGCCCATATTTAGAGGCTCAAATGTATTGGACCCATCCCATATATAATTTTTGTGAAGCTGCCACCCACCAACGTTATATAAGTAGGTTGAGGAGTGAAATTTTCTATCACAAACGATGTGGTAGGCTGGTAGCTGCATCAACACCAAACACATAAGCCTTAATCAATCTGCTCCGCAGTTGTAGAACACAGTGGTAGAGGCTGGTAGCTACATCAGCAGCAGCTTCAGTATAGCTGTCAAGGTTGGACTTTAAATGAATACAAGCTTCCATTTTAGGAAATAATCATCTTAATGATCATTGCTGACTACATTCTCTTTGTGGGAGCTTAATCTAACAGCTAAAACATGCATCTGATTATTTTATTGAGGAATCCTTTCACATAATTTTTCAATCCTTTTTGGTGTGTTTCATCGTATGGGCATACGGTGTATGGTTGCCTCCCCTGGAAACGATTGATCATCATAAGAATCAGATATGTTGTTTTGCTAATTTAAGGAACTGCTTTAGCTTAGAAGGTCTTGATGTTCTAAAACATGCCGATCTACTTGCTCAGTTATGGGATTAGATACTATGACAACACTCCTTGTGTTGTTATTGTAACAACACTAGTCTCCAACCAATAGGAAGTTAGGGTTGTGATGACTTTTTATTAGATAAGTTGACCTAGTGTAAAATCAAAGTAGGGGTATAATTGTCATTATGAAAAATATGTTTAAATAATAATTTAAATTAAAATAAATTAAAATTAAAATTAAAAAAATAAAAAATAATTTTTTTATTTCCGGCCCAAAATTTTGATCGCCGGAATTCTGCCACCGGTCGCCGGAAACTGGTTGCCGGTCACCGGAATATGTTTTTTGTCGTCGGAATATGCTATTTTGTCATCGGAATATGCCACCGTCGCCGGAATATGCTCACCGCGGTCGGAATATGCTTACCGGCGTCGGAATCTAGTCATCGGGGCCGGAATATGCCTATCGGCATCGGAATATGCTGACTGACGGTCACCGGAGTTCGGTCAACGAAGTTCGTTGACCGGTCAACGGTCAACGACCACCGGATGTATGGTCTGCATTGTGAGATTTATGGTTTGGTTTCTCATATTTTCATATGCCTTTTGTGGTTTGCTTTATCGTGTTTGTGGTTTGCATTGAGAAGTTTCTGGTTTGCTTTATCGTGTTTGTGGTTTGCATTGAGAAGTTTCTGGTTTGCTTTCAAAAATTTTGTGGTTTGCATTGAGGGGTTTCTGGTTTGTTTTAGGAGATTTGTGGTATGCATTAGGAGGTTTCTGGTTTGCTTTTTTGTTGTTTGATTTACTGTGCTTGTGGTTTACATTAGGAGGTTTCTGGTGTGCTTTCGCAAATGTTGTGGTTTGCTTTGTGAGGTTTGTGGTTTGTTTTAGGAGATTTGTGGTATGCATTAGGAGGTTTCTGGTTTGCATTAAGAAGTTTCTGGTGTGCTTTCGAAACTTTTGTGGTTTGGTTTGCGAGGTTTCTGGTTTGTTTTAATATATTTGTGGTCTGCATTAGGACGTGTTTGATTTGCTTTACCGTGTTTGTCGTTTGTATTAGAGGGTTTCTGATGTGCTTTAGAAATATTTATGGTTTGTTTTACCGTGATACTAGCAATTACTGGTTTTTTAGATGAGCCATACTAGCAATTTATAAGCGAAAATCGTAGAGCTTACTACATCTAAAGTAAATGTGCATTGTCAAACAAAATCATTTCAATCCCTTTAGCGCTTAAAAACCCTAAAATTGAATACCAGAGGGTCAAGTCAATTAATTTCTGAAACCCATTTACAGAAGCATGATAGCAATCGAGATACAAACAGCAACAATATTCTCTAAGCTACGGAATCATGCGAATTGAGACATAGCCAGTTCTGAAGCTCCGTGATGACGTGTCGGCTGTCGGCTGCGGCGGCCGAATCGTTGTTGGATCGGGACGTGAGGAGGCTGCTGCTGTTGGCTAAAAAGGATAGGGATTCTTGAAGCTCCGAAACGGCGTCTGATAATATATCCCTGCAATCTTCCAACGCCATTCGTAAGCTGATGGTGGTGTTCTTCTCGCGGCGGCGATCGAAGTTGATTTTCTCGGTCAGAGCGGAGGAGAGATTGAAGGATCTCTCGGTGGCTTCGATGGTGGCGGTGATCGCCGCCTTGATGAAATCCTTGGGGTCGTTCGTATCGTTTACCGGCCGGAGGGTTTCATTGCACGCTTGCTTGTAGTTGGTGGATGAGAAATTTGATAAAACGACAAGAAAACGAGACGATGATTTACGTGGTTTCCCCGAATGTCGGGACTAGTCCACGGGAGAGGTTTACTCTCCGGCTGATTTCTTATTCACTCTCTTATTATTTGGCCGTAGCCTGTACAGGACCTTTTATACCCTTTACATCCATCAGCTAGGGTTGAATTACAAGGACAATTAGGAACTACACATATGTGGGACACTGCCGCCCCATGGTTCATCTCGACAGTGGGCTCTCCTGTCCTTGTTCGTTGGGCTCGCTGGCCCAAATCCATTACTCCCCCGCAAGCTGCAGCGTGGAGATTACGAACGCGCAGCTTGGACAACAGGAAATGGAAACGTTCTGCTCCAAGGCCCTTCGTGAACATATCCGCCAACTGAAGCTGGGAGCTGATCTTCAAAGGCTTGATGTCACCGGACTGTACCCGTTCACGAACAAAGTAACAGTCCATCTCGACGTGCTTTGTACGCTCGTGGAAAACAGGGTTGGCGGCAATGTGAATGGCCGCCTGATTATCACAATGAAGAGGAGTGGGCTCATGCTGCGGTGCACCAAGCTCGGATAGGAGCCATCGTAACCAAAGTACCTCACTGACTGTGCTAGCCATGGCCCTATACTCTGCCTCTGCGGAAGAACGCGCAACAACCTGTTGCTTCTTAGTGCGCCATGAAACTGGGGCACCTCCAAGAGTGATTACATAACCCGTAGTAGAACGCCGTGACAACTCACAACCACCCCAATCTGCGTCACAGTATGCTACTAGATCGAGGGGAGCAGTGGCTGAGAAGAAAAGACCCTGACCTGGAGCTCCTTTCAGGTATCGCAAAATCCTCTGGGCGGCGTCCATGTGCGCACGAGTAGGTGCGTGTACAAACTGGCTGAGGATGTTAACGCCGTAAGTGATGTCTGGTCGAGTGACTGTCAGATAGAGCAATCGTCCCACCAGCCGACGATAAGCTGCCGGATCAGGGTGATCAGCTGGCGCAGGACGAGTAAGATGGTGGTTCTGCTCCACCGGGAATGCACTGGGTCGTCCTCCAAGCACACCTGAATCTTGGAGGATATCAAGAACGTATTTCCGCTGATTTAGAACAATGCCCTCCGGTGAGCGAGCCACCTCAATTCCCAAAAAATACCGAAGATTACCCAGATCTTTAATGCTGAAGCGGTCATGCAGGAAGTTCTTGACATGAGCAATGAAGTCTAGGCACGTTCCTGCAAGAATGACGTCATCAACATAGATGAGGGCAACCACATGGATACTCCCCCGGCGAAAGATAAACAAAGAATGATCGGCCGGTGATGGCCGAAAACCCAATTCACAGAGTGCAGCTGTGAATTTTTTATACCAGTTGCGAGAAGCTTGACGAAGTCCATAGAGAGACTTATTTAGCTTGCATACTCGAGTGTCCCCAGGCGCAGCAAAACCTTGAGGAATCTCCATGTATACCTCCTCATCGAGATCACCGTGGAGAAATGCATTATTAACATCCAACTGATGGATGTGCCACCCCTTGCTAACAGCAATGGCGAGAAGACAGCGGACGGTTACCAACTTGGCAACTGGAGCAAAGGTGTCGTGAAAGTCAACACCTTCCACCTGAGTATAACCTTTTGTGACCAAACGAGCTTTATAACGTTCAACTGTGCCATCGGGTCGAAACTTTACCTTGTAAACCCACTTCGACCCAATAACGCGCTTGCCCGGAGGTAGAAAAACAAGAGTCCACGTGCCATTTTCTTCCAAGGCGCGAACTTCTGTTGTCATGGCCTGCCGCCAACACTCTTCCTTCACGGCTTCATAAAAGTTGCGGGGCTCAGGATGATGGGCAACCGCTGCGACAAAGGCACGATAATTAGTGGAAAAAGCTTCATAATTTAAATGAGCAGATAAAGGATGATGTGTGGAATATGCTTCACTTCCCAAATAATAATCTTCAAGTTTCTTGGGAGGAATGGGCTGACGACTGCTACGGCGTAGCGGTGGTACGGGCGGCATGGGGGACTGCTGCGCACCCGAGGATGGGCCTGGGCCCGCAGATGGAGATCCGGCGGTCTTCGCTGGGCTGGGAGACGCGGTCGTGGGCCGCGCTGGGCTGGACGACACAGAGGAGTGGCCCAGCGGACTTGGACCTTGAGCTGAAGAAGGACTTGGGGTGAGCGGATGATGCTGGGCTGCAGGCGGCCCATCTCCATCTGCTTCTTTGGTGACAGTATCTTCCGTGGGCCCTGGCTGCCGTGGACTGGGCTGGGCAGCAGGAGACTCATCAGCAAGTACCAACTCGTCTTCAAGCTCATCAGTAGGGCGACTAAAAACGTCACCAGGGATCCAATGCATCTGTTTTGCAGTTGCGGATTGAAAAGGGAATGTGGTCTCATGAAAGATCACATCACGGCTGGTGATCATCCTGCGAGCACTTAGATCATATGCTCGATAACCCTTTTGACTAGCTGCATAACCAAGAAACACGCACGCTCGACCTCGTTCATCGAACTTGCCAAGGTGAGCATGAGTATCCTTGCAATAAACAAGACATCCAAAAACACGCAAGTGCGAGTAATTAGCCTGCCGTTTGAACAAGACCTCGTAAGGTGTCTGACCTGTAGCTGAGGTGGGGAGTCTATTTAGCAAATATGCTGCAGTTAAGATGCATTCTCCCCAAAACCGGATGGGTAAGGAAGCTTGAAAACGTAGCGCCCGTGCCGTCTCAAGGAGATGGCGATGCTTGCGCTCGACCACGCCATTCTGCTGTGGCGTGTCTGTGCAAGATGTCTGCAAAACAATACCCTCCTGTTCATAAAATTCACGCAAGACTGTGGTACTGAACTCTAGACCATTATCCGCCTGCAAGCACTTAACCTGCTTACCAAACTGTGTACGAACAAGATTGCAGAATAATTGCAAATACCGACCCACTTCAGATTTATACCGAAGAAGATAAACCCAAACTCCACGACTAAAATCATCAACGATAGTCAGGAAATAATGTGCACCACTGAGGGACGGAGTATGATAACCCCCCCAAATGTCAAGATGTAACATCTCAAAACAGCTAGAAGTGCGTATCCCGCTAACAGGAAATGGTGTCCGAACCTGTTTAGCCCGATAACAAGAATGACAAGGATCATTATTTGAGTCTACTGAAACAGAAATGACATTATCCAACTTCATGGCTGCCGGCGATGGATGGCCTAAGCGCGCATGCCAGAGACTCCTTGAAATTGCAACTCCCTTGGCTACTGCATGTGCTCCAACCCGTCGACAACCAAATAATTGTAAAAAGTAGAGACCATCACGGATCTCCCCCTTCCCAATCACGTTCCTGGAGTGTAAGTCCTGTATGATACAAAAATCACTGAGAAAGATCAAAGCAACACGATGCTCCTGACATAATCGACTGACCGATAAGAGATTGCACCGAAATTCTGGAACATATAAAACCCGACCAAGGGTCATCCCATCATGTATTCGAACTGAACCAATGCGCTTGACCGGTATACTAGCTCCGTTGGGTATGCGCACAGGTTGACAAGACACGCTCGAATCATGTGATAATAAAACAGATTCATCCATAGTTATGTGTTCATTGCAGCCCGAATCAATTAACCATTCGGATTGATTAGAAAAAGTAAACGTACCGGCCATGTGACTAGAAGGGTCAGCAGCGCCTGGAATTTGCCCGCCAAAATACTGTTTCAACTGTTCCAACTGTTGCACTGAGAAACCATGCACAGGACTCACCTCGGTCTCGGCTTGAGAGGCTCGGGGTTCACGACTTTGCGAACGGGTCGAGTTATTTTCCCGTCCACTAGGTTCACGATTCTTGCGTCGGTCGCGGCGATCTCCTTGCTTGTCACGCGGCGGCCAACCAATAATCTCATAACAATATTCACGTGAATGGCCCTGCTTCAAACAATGGGTACACTGCAAGCGTTCCCTTTCTCCAGACCCTTTATCACGTGGAGGACGATTCCCACCGAGGCTTCCTTCTGCTTCTCGGCGGCCAGCGAAATTCCCCTCACCACGCGATGCAAAGGCTGCTGCCTCCGGCAATGGCTTTCGCTTTTGCGTCAAGCTTCGTTGTTGTTCATCGTTATATACTATCCGAAAAGCCTCAGGTAACGTGGGCGGCACCGGCATGGAAAGTATACTGCTGCGGACAGTGGCAAAGGACTCATCCAACCCCAGCAGAAAATCTAACAACCTCAGTGCCTCGTTCTGGTCTTTGCAGCGGCGCCCGCAAACACACATCGGCGGCGGGAGAATTGATTGGGTCTCTTCCCAGACTCGTCGAAGCTGCGTGTAGAATCCGGATACGGACTGCTTCTCCTGTTGAAGAAGGCTCACGTGTCTCCGCAGCTCATAGGCCCGTGTCAGATTGCCTTTGCTAAAACGGTCACGAAGATCCTCCCAAATCTCTTGAGCGGTCTTCGCATGCATGACGCTGCTCCGAAGCTCAGCATCCATGGCCGTCCGCAACCACCCTTTTACCAGCGCATCACAACGCGTCCATAGGCGCGATAGAGGCGCATTATCATGTGGGTATGGAATTGAGCCATCCACAAACCCTAGCTTGTTCTTGGTGACAAGCGCATCTTTCATCTCAAGACTCCATTCGCTGTAGTTTGATGGAGTTAACAAACCGCTAACATGTAGATGTCCTGTACTATCGGACTGATGAATAAAGAATGGATCATGGACGTCCAAAACCTTGTCTGCCGAACCCAAACTCGTCGACTTCGACGTTGGGGTTGTCTCGAGGGTTGAACCTTCGCCAGCCATGATTGATTTTCAAAACAGGATCACTGCTCTGATACCATGAGAAATTTGATAAAACGACAAGAAAACGAGACGATGATTTACGTGGTTTCCCCGAATGTCGGGACTAGTCCACGGGAGAGGTTTACTCTCCGGCTGATTTCTTATTCACTCTCTTATTATTTGGCCGTAGCCTGTACAGGACCTTTTATACCCTTTACATCCATCAGCTAGGGTTGAATTACAAGGACAATTAGGAACTACACATATGTGGGACACTGCCGCCCCATGGTTCATCTCGACAGTGGGCTCTCCTGTCCTTGTTCGTTGGGCTCGCTGGCCCAAATCCATTAGTGGAGGCACAAATTCGCACCACTAATTACAGAAAAATCCTGCCAAGCATCGCCCAAATGTTGACAATGTTTATTCTTTGGATGTTGAGGAGAGGAGGAGGTGTTCAGCGTAGGTAGCAATTAGGTTTAGGGAGTCAATGAGAGAGGAAGAGGATACGATGGTCGAGTTGGGGAGTCGGCGAGAGGGATTGTACACTGGGAGAGCTATTCCCACACAGCCAGCACCGCCGCGAGGGAACTTCGTGGAATGCGGCGAGGAGTCGTTCTTCGGCTACGCTCCGGGGACGGTGAAGGGAGTGGCTCCGATGAGCGGGGCGGCGGAGAAGGGTCGCGAACTCGCAATGGTGAGAGATGAGACCTGACAGCGGGTGAATTTTAATTCACTTTATTTTATTATTTTCTATCTAATTTACCCTTTTACCCTTAATGAATTTTGTTGTTATAATAACAACACTCTTAGTGTTGTTATTCTATCCGAGCCCCTCAGTTATTGTTTGATTTCGGTACTTGACTCCTCGCATGTGGTTGCTAACTAGGTGAACATCTAAGTCCATGGACGACAGCATGATGCTTTGCGATGGGTCTTTCAATCATGTTTTTTTAGCAATGAACTTAGGGCCTCTGTATTCAGAAGTATGTCAACCTTTCTAGTGAGTAATTTTTACCTCTACTGCTCGAGAACCACTTACGGATGTATCCATACATATGGTTTAGTAATGTAAAACCACTTACCTAGTAATTCATGTTTGATAAGTGATATATGTGTGATATGTCTGTTTTACGTGAATAAATTTAAGATATGATACACAACTCATATATGCAATAAATATTTAGTCACGATAGACAAAGTCTCAAACCAATAAACAAGTTATCTACTAACGAGAAGTTGAAGGATATGTAGTATAACAAACAAACGGGTTATATCATTAATAGTAGGCCAGTCAAAGAGCAATAACATCTAATCAAGTTAACTTGCGATCCACACCATCAAGTTGACTCATTAGTTTAAGTTGACTTTAATTTCGAGCCATACTAACAAGCTATCTCTATCTCGATAGTTTTGATTGAGCTAACTAGTGAGCCACACTATCGAGCTAGCTCGCGAGGTTCATACGTTTTATCTTCTCTTATACTAGTCAAGAGTCAATAATAATTTGGTCATTTTTATACTGGGTTCAAGTTGAACTCCAATAGTTTTAACCAAACATTGATATTATTGTGAGTTAAGTCTTAATTCTAATGAAAAAATCATTAACAAATTTCAACATAGTTCAACAAACTACTTCATATACCAAACATTAAGGCTTATATGTTAGTAGCATGCAGAATTTTATGATATGATACACAATATCATGTTGGTTTGCGAGTCGTATTATCGAGTTGACGTAAGTTTTGAGCCACAATATCAAGTTGTATTATGAGTTTTGATCGAGTTCACTCACGATCCACACTATCGAGTCACCTCACGAGTTTCAAACGAGCTAGATCACGAGCCTGGCTCAACGAGCCAACAAGTCGAGCTAGCTCGCGAGCCTGCCCGAGTTGAAGAGACTCTGGCTCGTGCTCGGCTGATTAACAAACGAGTCGGCTCACGAGCCAGCTCATTAAAAATCGAGCCGAGTATCGAACGAGTTTTTAACGATCTGAGCCCCGAGCCGCTCACGAGTAGCTCGGCTCATTTGCAGCCCTACTGCCACTACATTAGCACTCTAAGGAGGAAATAGTTGGTTATGATTACTCCTTTCGCTTTTGTCTTTCTAGGGCGATTATGCTTTTGTCAACGTACCATCTTAGGTACACATCAAATTAATTAAGTCATAATAAATATATGCATCTAAATAATTATATGATCCGTTGGATAGAACCATGCAACTCATTCTTTAATGATATGTGAGGAACTTAAAGTTAGACATCTTCATCAATCAAATCATCGGGACTACCGCTATAATTATTGTTAAATAGTGCTTGTATGTGACTCGGTATAACGTGCGAAAGCTGGCCTTTTGGCAGAAGTTCGAAGTTCGAACACAGTTCATGGTATAACTACATGACAAAATTTAATGTCAAATTGCTTTTGTGTGGCTATTTTTTTTATGTTTAGATTTTAGTTTTTTTTGTTAGGTTTCAGTTATGTATTTGGTATAAGGAGTGAGGATCCAATAAGTTCTAACAAAAAAAACATATCACAAATCTAGTGTGTTAAAGATATCACAAATCCTCACTCCTTAAGTTCTAACAATGTCATCACACGACAAGTTTAAAAACATATCACAAATCTCATGAAATACGAGACAAGTAAGCAGACCACAAGTCATATGAAGTGAACCACAAGTTTATTAAAGCATATCATAAATTTATTAAAGCATTTCACAAATTTATAAAAGCAAACCACAAATCCAACAAAACGGACCACAATTCCCACAAAGCATACCCCAAGTTAATAAAAACATACCATCAACCTCAATATATTGTGTTTTCTAACAATTCATTCATTATTCTCTTCATTCTTCCATACTATATACTTATACTCTAAGGATTGCAATGAGTTCGGGTGAGGTTTCTATATACAATTCCCAACCCACGGTTTTAAAATCTAAACCATCCTCGTAATCAAAAGTAGGCGGGGATAACATAAATAATATGCTCGTATGCGGCTAGGAGAAAATCGATATGCACCATCCCTATACAATCATATATAAATTATGCATATAATGTAAATGTTATCTTAGAATATCAATATCACTTTTCAGTTTTGTTAAGATATTGTTCATAAAAGTTAGTAAAAGGAGCAATATTTCTTTTAAGATATAATTATAATACTTGATGGGATAGAAATACCCGAAGTGTTGAAGAGAGTGAATTTGGACCATATTTATAGCACATATTCATATTGATCTAGTGTGGATACTTAAAATACCAAAACTAAACCATACCCAATACCCTCTGCTGACGTGGTTTGAATCGGACTATCTGGCGCTACGACTGGATGGCACGGGGTCTCACTGTCCACTTAATGTTATTTGGGTTTGTGTTCTGGGCCTGGTTGTAACCGCTTTTTCTTTACCATATTGGATTAGGGTTAGACCATGGAGAAATACTATAAATACTTTTCATACTCCTATGTAATTTGTATCTCCTTGAAGTATAGTGAAAATGACTCTCTCCTGTCCATGGACTAGTTAACACACATTGTATTAGTGAACCACGTAAATCGCGTGTCGTGTTCGTTCTTGTGTTTCATTTTCTTGCTTTGTCTAATCCTCCTATTTTCTGATTCGAGAGAAACATTCGTGACAAGTGGTATAAGAGCAACGGTTGAAAATCAGGCTAGGGTTTCGATTCTAAAGAATGACATCGGTAACTATGAAGACGGGAAGTTCACAGGGAAGAACAGTTTCGGTACATGGCAGATCAAGATGGAGGCTTTATTGAAACAACAAGTATTGTGGGGGTCGCTGTCTGCAAAAAGAAGAAGGCAGCAGTCGAGGACGATGAGTGGATTAACCTAGAGGAGATACACTCGACCACCATGCTATCGTTGTCTGATGATGTCATCATTGATGTCGCTACTGAGGAGACTACCACGAGCTTTTTGTTAAAACCGGAGAGTCTGTATATAACAAAGTATTTGACCAACAAGCTTCATCTCAAGCAATAGTTGTTCAGCTTGAGGATGCAAGAAGGTAAGTCTTTGAGAGAACATATTGAATAACTTAATTCTATTTTGTTGGATTTACGCAATATAGATGTGAAAGTTGATGATGAAGATGTTGCCCTAATCATGCTTGTGTTTTTTGTTGAGTTCGTATGAGAATTTAGTGCATTCTTTTATTGTTGGTAAAGATAGCTTGTCTTTGGAGGATGACATATATGCTCTTCACACGAGAGAGATCAGGCATAAGGTGTTTGGATCTGGTATAGGTGGTGAAGCATCGGGGTTGGCTGTTATAGGTGGAAAGGGAAAGAAGAAATCTGGTAAAGGGAATTCGAATACAAACTCGAATTTTGATGGTCTAAGTCCAAAGCCAATTGATTCCTGTCACGTCTGTAAGGAAGTGGGGCATTGGAAGTACAACTGTCCCAGAAAGAAAGGGCATTAGAAGAACCAAGGTTCTAATGTTGGGGCAGAAGTGGACAACAGTTTTGAAGACGAACTCGCCTTAGTTGTAGATGAGAAGGTACATCGTGGTGATGTGTGGTTTCTGGATACAACAACCTCATATCATATGTCTCCAAATAAGGACTGCTTCTCAACCTACGAGCAAATAGATGGTGGTAACGTGGTTATGGCTAATGTAGTTGTCTGCAAGGTGGTTGGAATCAGGTCTATCAAGATTCGGAAATAAGATGATTCGTTCTGTACCGTAAACGAAGTCAAGCATGTTCCACAAATAATGAAGAACCTGATCTCCTTGAGTCTTCTCGACAACAAGGGTCTCAATTTCAAGGGAAGAGGTGGAGTCGTGTATGTCTGCAAAGGTTCAAGGAAGGTGCTGAAGGGTATGAATCATGGTACCTTGTATGCATTACAAAGGTATGTGTTGTCAGGTTCTGCTGCAGTTGCATTATCCCAGGTTCATCAAGAAGATATGACCACTCTCTGGCACATGCGATTGGGTCATATGAGTGAACGAGGGATGCAAGTTTTTTTTCCAAAAGGGATCTTCTTTGCAAGCACAAGATGCAAAATTAGGAATTCTGTGAGCATTGTGTGTTTGGGAAGCTGCATCGTACTAAGTTTCTAAGAAGGGTATCTACCGTACGAAGGGGATATTGGATTACCTCCACTTTGACTGTTGGGATCCTTCATGAGTTAAATCCATTAGAGGGAGCATGTATTTAGTGTATATTGTTGATGATTACTCATGGCTTACTTGGATTTTTCATGACGAAGCAGAAAAGTGAAGCCTTCACTAAGATCAAGTAGTGGAAGGCCTTCGTGGAGAAACAAACTGGGAAGAATATCAAGAGACTTCAACACATTCTGCAAGGATGAAGGGATTGCTCGTCATTGGACCGTTACAGACACACCACAACACAATGGCGTTGCAGAAAGGATGAACCAGACATTGTTGGAGAGAGCAAGGTGCATGATCTCTAATTCTAGATTGGCGAGGAGGCTATGGGCAGAAGCAGTAAACATGGTGTGCTACCTCATCAATAGTGGACCTCACACAGGTATCGAGTGCAATACTCCTTATGAGGTGTGGTATGGTAAGTCTGCTGATTGCTCTTCATTGAAATTTTTTGGTTGTCCTGCTTACTATCATGTGGATGAGGGTAAACTAAATCCAAGATCAAAGAAGGGTGTTTTCGTGGGTTTTGGAGATGAAGTTAGGGGATTTCGAGTCTAGTCACCCTCTGAGCATATAGTTATACTTAGCAGGAATGTGATATTTGATTATAAATCTACGTTTAACCCCATGTTGAAGGTTTATGTTGTTTGAGATAACATGAATGTTGATAAACAGGTGGAGCTGCAAACTCTCAAAGAGAGTGAGTGTGAACATCAAGGTGGAGAACATCAACGTGGGGATGTTTCTGATGAGCCCAAAGAGAGTGACTCCGGGAGTTGGGGAGCTTCCCAGAAGATTTTGGGTATGGAGATTTACAAGGATAGAGAGAAAAAGAAGCTTTTCTTG